CTTCTCCTCCTCCTCCTCCTCCTCCTCCTGCTCCTCTCCCTTCTCCTCCTCCTCCTCCTCCTCCTCGTCCTTCTCCTCTCCTTCCTCCTCCTCATCCTCCTCCTCCTCCACCTACCCGTCCTCTTCTTCGTCCTCCAATAGTTCCTTGTAAATAATCCCTCCCTGCCGGGCCCGAGACAGGTCGTCACCGATTTGGAGCTGGCCGTTCAAAAAGTTCAACAGGTTCACCGACTCTCGATAGTTTGCAACAGTTTCACTGATTGCAACAGTTTCACTTCTTGGAAGTTTGCAACAGCTTCACCGGTTGAGAGCTGGCCGCTTAAAACATGTTGTTCGCTCCTCGACACCGCGCACAGTCGTCCCAGAAGTTGAACAAATTCACGGATAGAGGGCGGCTCGTTTTCAAAATGTGGCTCTCGCCTGAGCGCCGCGCACGCTCGTCTTGAAAATGTGCAAGAGTTCCGCAAATAGGGGGCCGCTCCTTTTCAAAATGTGGCGCTCGCCTCAGCGCGCCGCACATTCCTTTGAACGGCTTACCACAGCGTCAAGGACTCTTACGGCTGACATCCCGAGAAAAGTCTTCTGGCAGGATTTCGGATTGTCAAGGCGCGACAATCAGGCTCGTTCACGGTGTTGACGACGTCCCAGAAGCGGTGTTCTGACATGACTTGGGACCGTCAGGTCGCAGCAGTGACGCTGACTCGCGGCATCGAAGTCCCAGGACTGGTGCTTTCCCTCGGTTGAAGATCTTCAGACGGCTGTCTTCCACAGGGGCTCTTCCCGCAGTGAGGACTCCTTCTGGGAGCCCATGAAGAGGGAACTTGGAGGGAGCAGGTAGTACAGCATCGATGGTGAGGGACGGCACGGACGCCAGCATCCTCCCCCAGGATTGCCCTCGCGGGGCTCGAAGGGGGCGCTGGAGCGCCAAACAATCAGCACTCGTAGAATATGAAATACCGGGGGGGGATTTCCACTCGCGTCAGACACCAAGAAACAAATTAGGCTTACAGAGTTCCCCACATAAGGATATTGAGGGTTTCGTGGGAGCAATGAGGCAAAATAATAACAATTTGAATGGAAGGGCCATCCTAAAAAGCACGTGCGAAAGAACGGCAGACGAAGGCAAGGAACGGGAGCAGCATGGAGGAAAACGACGGTTTTTCAGGAAGCACGTTCGTCCCTGGAAGAGTGGGAGGGGCACGAAACCTTATAAATAACATGCATGGTGTTCGAATACCCTCCTCGCTCAGGCCGGGCCTCCCTGGAGGAGTGGGAGGGGCGCGAAACCTTCTAGATAACATGGTGTTCGAATACCCTCCTCGCTTAGGCGGGGCCTCCCTGGAGGAGTGGGAGGGGCACGAAACCTGATATGTAACATGGTTTTCGAATACCCTCCTCGCTCAGTCGGGGCCTCCCGGGAGGGAGGGGCACGAAAACTGATAAATAATATGTGGTTCGAATACCCTCCTCGCTCAGGCGGGGCCTCCCTGGGGAGTGGGAGGGTAACGAAACCTGATATGTAACATGGTTTTCGAATACCCTCCTCGCTCAGGCGGGGCCTCCCTGGAGGAGTGGGAGCGGTACGAAACCTGATATGTAACATGGTTTTCAAATACCCTCCTCGCTCAGGCGGGGCCTCCCTGCAACAGTGGGAGGGGCACGAAACCTGGTAAATAAAATGGTGATCGAATACCCTCCTCGCTCAGGCGGGGCCTCCCTGGAGGAGTGGGAGGGGCACATAACCTGGTAAATAACATGGTGTTCGAATACCCTCCTCCTGATAAATGATATGGTGTTCGAATACCCTCCTCGCCCAGGCGGGCCTCCCTGGAGGAGTGGGAGGGGCACGAAACCTGATAACTAACATGGTGTTCGAATACCCTCCTCGCTCAGGCTGGGCCTCCCTGGTGGAGTGGGAGGGAAACGAATCCTGATAAGTAACGTGGTGTTCGAATACC